GAGTTTTCATTGTCAATTGAAAGTTGGATGTTTATTCAGAAACCTAAAAACCAAGGAAGTCAGAAGCAGGTCGACATTAATTTATCAGAGGAAGGGAAATACCATACCTGAGGTCGAGAGGCGGTTGAAACCTTTTCTCTCTTGATCAAATGGAGAGATGAAAACTCACCAGTCAAAAGTCGTTTTTGGAAGGCAACAAAGGAGTTTTAAAGGTAGGTGAGTAATCCTAAAGAGTGAATGCACGTAAGTAGCCCAAAGAAAATTAAAAGAACAAGGAATTATTATTTTCGACGGAACCTTTTTGACAGCGGTGAAGGATGATCACAAAACTCTATCAACCTTAGTTTCTAGTGCAGGTATGGAAGCTATTTGGGCACTCTCAAAAGCATCAAAATCTTTGTCCAACTTTTGTAGGAAGAAGGGTGCAAAGAAATACCTTTTCTAGAGTTCAGACCATCATTGGTCGAATTCTTTAGTAGTAAAAAATGAGGGTTGAAAGTGGAACACATGGAGTTCTAAATCATTCATCATTCTGTGGAACTTAAGGCACTTCAAATGTTCATCAATGAAAAACTGTCGACCAACCCAAACAATGTCTATATGATGAGAAAAAAGAGACATAGGCAACATCTGGCCAAGTCCAAATTGGCGGGCCACTAGCTGAGGTTGGTAACTCATGAAACCATAACGTTTCGACCCAGTGTCAATTATGAAGGAAAGTAGTGTGGGGGTCAATAATACTCTCCAAACTGCATTCAGCATTGCGGCAACCTTGGGAGAAACACTAGGGAAAAGGATTTCTGAACCAATCTGGGCCGACATTGCGGTTCTCAAAAAGGGCCATGGCTGAAACAAAAACATTGAACCCAATAAACAAATCAACATACCTCATAAATTCAAGCATGTTGAGCTCTTGTTGGGGGGTCATCAAAGACATCCTTAGTCCCTCAATGTCTCTAGGCTCTGATAAATGCAAAGTTGTTGTAGAGGTAGGATAGCCTGATTGATGTTCAAACGTGGTGTTTAACCAATGTTGTAGCAACCAAAAGGGACCTGAGAGAGCTAACCCTTTGTCATGGGTAGAGAAAGAATTTATCCTGGACGAAGCATTACCAAAGTATGGTATAAGTATGCCAACAAAAGTTTTCCCAGTGATATTTTTTGACCTTCATGGATTTGAATGGCTTCCAAATCGAACAAAGTGGATGTTAACATCCCACATGGAAATTGGAAAGTATTGGTAGTACCTTCCTAAAAGAAAATTGATGATAGGATCAGATTGGGATTAATCCTGTGTGCATTTCTCGACAGCTGGATATCATCGAAAATACCAGTATCCTTCCATTACTGTTATTTTTTTCCTTGAACTTTGTCTAACCAAGCAATATAAGTCTTGTTACCTGGAGTGCGCATCAGTTGAAAAACCCTAGACCCTATAAATTTGGCATCGATTGGCGTGTCATGGTCGAAGGCTAAAGGTTTCACAGGTATGAAGCAAGGAAAGTACTCCAGAACTTTCTTTGGATGATTCTGGTGAATGAGGAGTGGATCATGGAATGCGCAAAGTTTTTTCGAAATAACAAATGGGATAACCATTTGTTATTTCCATCTTTTCACTTTATGTTCATCTTTAGATGGGGGTTGAGGAACCACCGCCAAATTTTCTTCTTCGGGAAGAGTAAAGGCTATGAGGTTGTTTCCAGTGTCCATCAGGTTAATGGAATTACCAACCACTGTAATAAATAAGAAGGAAGAAAGAACAATGGGTGTTTCAGAGTAAAAGGTTGCAAAAACAATTGATTGTTTAGCAGCGCTTGCAGAGAAAATGGGTATAAGATAAAAGAAAGAAAAAACAAACGTAAAAAGGTATTTATAGGCTCATGGAGGCCGTTAATGATGTAAAAGTGGCGTCCATTTAGATAGTAATGATTCTTGCTAAAATCAGGAATGGAAGAGTTAGTAAGGTTTCTTGAAATCCCATATCCTAAAAACTAAGAGCCATTATGAGAAATGATGGATTGACATAGGAAATAGTGGCACAGAAAGTGGAAATCATGGCGCGTGAGGTCATTTCAAAAGACGTGCAGTCGAAAATTCAAAAGTTAAAACACCAAAGTTCTCAATCGATAGAATCTCCATCGAACTTAAAATTTTGGGGGGAAATTTGTTGACAAGTAATTTTTGAATTAAGGATTAGGCCACAAGTTAGATGGTATCCTTTGTCAAAAGGGAGTGTGAATTATTCTATAAATGACGAGTTGGGGCCCATCGACATGATTTCAGAAATTATACATATTCATAGGCTTGTTAGTCGAGATAGTACTAGAAGCAGAAGCTAGGTCGACGAAGGCCAAGCAGGTCGAAAGCAAGAGAAAGTGGCAGAAAAAGAGGTTATCAACTACGAGCATTAGCAAAACGTTGGATGTTAGAAAACAACACCACACAAACTCTCAACGTGAGTGGTTCAAGGTAACCGTCGATGGTTACATTTTAGCATCTATTTAATAAAATTGTTGTATTCATTTTTGAGGTCGCATTTTGTAATATTGTAAGAGAGCACTCAAAGTATCAGCGTTTAGAGAAACGAGTCAGTTTAAAGAAATGTACGATTGCGTCCATCTTTAAATTCAAAGCAGTTTTATTTCAAGTCTTGTTTATCATTTCAGCCTTGGAATTTATCTATCATTTGTCTGTCTTTGTCTTTTACCCTTTCGTTCTTATTACGCTTTTTGTACTTTAATCATTTCAAACACCAAACACTATCAAACTTAACACGAGGTCTAGGACTCTTGTAGCCGGTCCTGCAAGTAACCTTTAATTAAGAGGCTAGAGATTGTTCGCGAGAAACTCCCGTGAATAATATCCCTATAGGATCTAATCCTAGAAGGATTTCTTGGTGGAAACCGTTGGTCACGAAGATCAAGAAGCATCTTGCTAATTGGAAAGGAAAATTCCTTTCTTTGGGAGGAAGAATCACTTTAATCATATCGGTCCTTTCTAGCTTATCTATTTTTCAGCTATCTTTCTTCAAAGCCCCGACAAAGGTTTACAAAGAGATTGAGCAAATTCAAAACAATTTTTATGGGGTAGCAGTGCGGATAAAAGGAAGATTAATTAGGTTAGGTGGGAGTCCCTTTGTTTGCCGTTCGAGAAAGAGGGATTGGGATTCAAGAGTTTCAAAGAGTTTGATTCTGCTTTATTGTTTAAGTGGAATTGGAAGATTTTTCAAGGCTTTAAATCTCTTTGGTCGAAGGTTTTATCGGCTAGATACGGGAACTTGAGGCACCAGGTTTTGGTTGAAGGCAATTCTGTGGTTAGTAGATCGAAGTCTGCTCGGTGGTCTGACTTGATGTCGTTGTAGTCAAAATGTTATGTTAATGTTTTGTCCCAAAATTGCGAGTTTGTGTTAGGAATCGATACTGATGTACCATTCTACAGCGTGTATTGGCATGAGGAAGGAAGATTGATGGAGTTGTTTCCTGTTTTATACAAGGAAAGTTTGAAGAAGGATGAGAGTGTGGCTAATATCGGAGGGTGGACAAACGATGGTTGGATATGGGAGAATTTTGGTATAAATATTGTGAATTCTACGTTGCAGGTTTTAATGCAGGATTTGTGTTAGTTTTTGGCACAAACCAGTCAAGTTTCAAATGTGGTCGATACTGTTGTGTGAAGGTAGGAAGTAGTCGAAGGATATACGACGAAGAGTGGTTACATTCTGTTATTTTCATTGTGTAACTGATTCGGTTTTGAATAAAGGATCGCGTGCGTGCATATGGGCGGTTTGGAAGTCTTTAGTTCCTTTTAGGATCAAAGTTTTTGGGTGGAGATGTTTTCTCAATAGATTGCCTCTAGGGACTTGTTGAATAGGAGAGGAGTTATTACTTATGCCAGTGATATTATCTGCATTTTCTGTTCGGGAGAAGTGGAAAGTTCTTCTCACTTGTTCTTGGATTGTCTCTTTTCTAAGAGGTTATGGATATAAATTTTCTCTTGGCTGGAGATTAGAGTTGCGTTCAGAGGGATCATTGTTAATAGTTTGGGGTTTTGGACTTGGGAATGTTCTAAGCTGGAAGTGAAGAAAAGTAAGGCGAGTGCAATTTGGTTAGCGGCGTTGTGGGGTATTTGAAGTTACCAGAATGAAGTGATTTTTAATAGATTTAGTCCTTATTTGTCGAATTTGTGTTGGAATATAAAATTGAAGGTTTAGAAGTGGACTTGTATCGATAATATTTCCTACACCAAGTGTAATGTTTTGAATTTTACAAACATCATTTATATTATTTAGGATAAATTTCAATTGGTAGAAAATCTTCCTTCTGTAAACAATATTCTCGATTTTTATAAACGCATTAGAATACTCCTAATATTCTCTTTATATCAATCATTGCTTTATTTAAGAAAACATCACCATAATATATGTAATAGTAAATTAGGATCCTCTCCCCTTTTTTGAAGAAATGGAAAATGCCATTACCAATGTTTTTATTATATAAAAATTATAAAAATCAAAATATACAAAATATATATCACATATTTCAATACTATAAATGCATTATATTATAATATTTAGTAAGGACACTCTCCATTTCCTCGAAGAGAATCCCAACTGATGTAGTAACATACTTATAGCATATATATTTTTCCTTTTAAATTTGAAATAAAATAGAGTCATTATTATTTTTCTATAATTTTTTCATATAATATTTATATCCTTTCAATAAATGAATATATTACTAAGTAACTATAAGCTTGAGGAGCATCATATAATATACTGTACGCGCTAAACATGAGAGAGTAAAGAGCTGGATACAGCTAAACAGAGACTTGTTAGAATGTTGCAATCTCTCTCTCTCTCTCTCCATTTTCCTCTCCTAATTTTTTATCTACATTTCTACTTATTACTTCTACTTAATCCACACTTTAGTTAACCCCAAAAGACACTCTCTCTTTCTCTCTCATTCTCTCTCACCGACAGTATTATTTTCCTCAAACACACCATGACAGATCGAGTATACCCCGCCGCCAAACCCACCCCCACCACCAACGGAAACGGCGTAACCACCGCCAACCCATCTTTCCCAGCCACTAAGGCCCAACTCTACGGTGCCTCTCGTCCAACCTACCGTCCTCAACCCCACCACCGCCGCACCCGCCGCCGTTGCTGCTGCACTTTCTTCTTCTACCTCCTCCTCATCATCCTCATCCTCCTCCTCCTCATCGGCCTCACCGGCACCGCTTTCTATCTCATCTACCGCCCCCACCGTCCCACCTTCACCGTCACTTCCCTCAAACTCTCCTACCTCAACCTCACTTCTTCCTCATCTCTCAACTCAAAGTTCAACGTCAACATCACCGCCAAAAACCCCAACAAAAACATCATCTTCGTTTACCAACCCACTTCCATCTCAATTCTCTCCAACGAAATCGATGTCGGCCACGTAACACTCCCCTCTTTCAAACACGGCAAGAAGAACACCACTTTACTAAAAGCTTCCATTTTGAACAAAGGAGAACCACTAGAGAGCGACGCAGCATCAGAATTAAAGAAGAACATGAAGAGCAAAAACGGGTTACCGTTGAAAGTGAAACTAGACACGAAAGTGAAGGCTAAATTGGGAAAGTTGAAAACTCCCAACGTCAGAATTAGAGTCTCTTGCGATGGAATCAGAGTCCATCTTCCCGCCGGTAAGAAACCGGTGCCGGTAACGGCGTCAACTTCAAAAGTTAAATGTGAAGTTGATGTCAGATTTAAGATCTGGAAATGGACAGTTTAATTGATGAAGTAAACAAACCCATGTGGAAGAAGAACACATGACAGTATCATAGTCTATAGAGGTGTGTTGTGTTTTTTTGTTTTTTGTTTTTTTTTGTTTTTTGTTTTACTTTATTTATTTTCTGATTTTTATTTTGGTATAATTTGTTCATAATTCATATTCATAATTATTACATAAAAACGCTTGTAAATGGCGACAAAGGCTACATGAGTTTCAGTGGGTGACAGTTGTGTGCTAGTTTCTTTTTCTTTAGAAATATATTTGTTTTTTTTTAAATAATTTATTTGTTTTGTGTATTTTAGTTTATTTATATGCTCTAACGGAAACACTATCTGTCATTGTCTGTCTCTTATTTATGATATTAAAAATGGAAGGGCACCATTTGGTGAAATATCGATTATCTAAATTCATCTCATTTTATTGTAAAATTTAGATATATATATTTAAAACTATTTTTTCCCGTAAAATATGAAATATATTTGAATATGAATACTTCAAATTCTGAAATATTCTAAATTTTAAAGAAATTTAAAAGAAAAAAAAAATAGAAGAGACTAGATTTTGTCTAAACACTTGTCATTGTCAAAAGTTTACACTGATGTTGTAGAGGATAAGGTGGAAAATGAGAGAAAGGATGTGAGTAGGTTTTTAGTGTCTAGCCTTCGTCCTATTAGAGTATGAGGAAATGATAATTCATCCTCTAAGGAGGAGATGTGTAATTTGGATCAAGTCTGAAATTGTATCTTCTAACGCATATTTGTGGCATACTCCTTGAAAAGGATCATCCCTTTGAACTTAGGGTTGAAGGGGTTGGAATGCTTTTTCCTGCGGCAACATTTACATCATTTGTTGTTGTTGTTCCAATATCTGCATCATGTGTTGATGTTGCAAATTTTGTTGAGCTAGTTCCGCATGTTGATATTGTATCATATGAATACCAGGTTTTGCTTGCGACTGCCGTTGTCTTTGCATTTTTTTAATTTTTATTGAAATATTAAATTAGATTTGTTAAAATATTAGATTAGATTTAATTAGATTTAATATTTAAATATAATTTAAATTGTGTAGACTTAAATCCAATTAAAATTATATATAAATAGTCCTGGTCTGTATCATTATTTGAACAATTCAATAATACAAATTCTTATTTTCTTTATTATTTTTTTTTCTCTTCATTAAAAGTGTCCCACGCACTAATAAATTGGTATACAGAGTTTTCGGTTATTGTTCTTGATCGAGTTTCCAAGAACTTCACGTTAGAGGTCGTGTTTCTCGGGCAAGTGATTCAACCGATGCGAAAATGGCTAGTAATAAGGACATTCTGAATTCTCTTCCAATGCTTGACGACAAGAATTGGATCCGATAGAAAAAACAGATGCAATCCTTGTTTGGCTTTCATGAAACCTTATAAGTGGTTACCAACGACGTTCTTGCGTTGGCTGTAAATGCAACTGACGAAAAGAAAAAAGTCCACAACAAAGTCAAGAACAAAGATTGTAAGGCTGCTTGTTGCATTCAAACGGTTGTCGATACGGTTGATTTCGACAGAATCTCTCATGCTGAAACGGCGAATGAGGCATGGGATATTCTGGTGAAGTATTACGAAGGAGGTGAGAAAGTCAAGGTTGTCAAGTTACAAACCTTGCGTCAACAATATGAGTTGTTGTCGATGGGAGAAGATAAAAAAAGTTGCAGAATATGTGTCTAAGGTTCAAAAACTCATCCATCTCATGAAGGGTTGTGGTGAAACCATAACTGATAAGATGATAGTTGAGAAGGTAATGACAATATTGACCTCTCACTTTGATCATGTTATCGTAGCTATTCAAGAATTCAACAATCTTGAAACCACTAAAGTAGAAGATTTGGTTGGTTCGTTGGAGGCGCATGAGATAAGGATTGTCGAAAGGAAATGAGTGCAAGACTCGATACAGGCTCTGCAAGCTCAGTCATGGAAAAGGGATGGTGGTTCCAACAAATTCAAAGACAAGTTCGACAAGACTCGGGGCAAGAAATCTTGGTCGAAATCTCACAAGCATCAGGTCGAAGATGGAACTTCTGAATCCTTGAAAGGAGGAGGAAACTATCGAAAGGGAAAAGAAGATAAAAAAAGGTGTGCAATGCTATAACTGGGAAAAATGGGGTCACATAGTCAAGAATTGTTGGTACAGAAAAGACAAGGTATCGACAGGCAAGGACGAAGCAATGAACCTTGAACGCCAAGATTCTGATGGTTCTGAAGATGGTATGGTGGTTATGGCTGCAGTTGCAGATAACCATGTCGAATCTAAGATCTGGTTTCTCGACTCAGGCTGCTCGAACCACATGACTGGTCGAAAGGAGTGGTTGGTAGATTTTGACGAGTCGAAGAAGAGCAAGGTAAAACTTGCTGATAATAGTTTGTTGCAAACAGAAGGTACTAACAACATAGTATTTCAAATGAGTAATGGAGGGAAAGTTATGATTAAAGATGTGCTTTATGTACCTAGAATGAATTGGAAATTGCTAAGTGTTGTACCCCAAAATTTACCCTATATTTTCTCAATACATTTCTCACAAGATCTTCAATAGCTCAAGCTCGCAACACTGATACATCAAATTAGGGTTTAAGTTTTTGCACAAGTACAATTGGACTTTTAAGACTCCATATGACTTTCATGGATCATTTTGAACTCTCAAAATTTCTCATGTCAAGTTTCAAGCTTTGGATTACATTTTTGCTCAATCAATTGATCAGTTGACCTAAAATCAATTGTATTGGGCAAAAAGTCAATTATGGTCAATTTACAGTCAAACTTCATAATTTTTTATCCATATCAACATTTTGAACTCATATATTTCAATTGGTTTATTTTGGATCACAATTCCTCAAGAAATTTGATCAGATCACCAAGAGGGCAAAATGGTCAAAATTAGGATTTTGACTGAGAAGACTCAATTTTTGATTTTTTTTACCAAATACATGACTTATTGGTTTGAGACATGAAATCAAGGATTCAAATGCATCATTTTGACCTAATGGCATGGTTCAAAACATTTCTCATGATCAATTGATTGATAGTTGAAATTTGTCAACTGATGAAAAAGTCAACAGTACACTGAAAAGTCAAACTTTGACTTTTTGATCAAAATAAAGTTTCAAAAATGATATTTCATCAAGACATGTCAAAATATGAAGATTGTTCATCAAGAAATCAAAAATTCAAAATCATCTTTGAAAAGTCAAAATTCTAAGACTTAGAAATATTTCTAAGTGTTAGAAAGTTAACTATTTTTTCATGACTTTGTGCCAAATTTTCATCATGATGCAAGATGATTCAAGGAAAACTTCCAACATGAAAGTTGTAGTTCTCAATGAGATCTAAAGCATTGTAGGGCAGGACTTTTTTTAGAAATGCTTGGATTTTAAGTTATAAATTCGTGAGGTCATGACATTTTTGAATAAACACTTAGAGAAATTTTCAGCAGGTTTGGCCAGGTTTTTATCCCAACTTCTTTGCCAATTTTCATTAAGTTCCAGTTTGATTTAATAAAAGTGGAAAACATGAAAGTTGTAGAGGATGTTTCAAGCTTTCCAAAACATCCAAGAACATGAACTTATCATACTTGAGCTAGGAAATTCAAGGACTTGAAGTTGGGTATTCATTCTTGATTTACAAGACAGATTTGTGATGAACAAGGAACCAACATTTTAGCTATGCTGCATAATCTTCACTTTACAGGCCTCAAACTTGTATTTCACTCATTAATTAAATGCTTACATAACTGATTAAACTATGATCCAAGTGTTTGAGCCTTTGTCCAATTGATCATTCCATTTTTGGAAGTAACATATCCATTCTTGAAAAGTTTACTTTAATCATAAAGTCAATTTCTTGAGCTTCTAACTTGTTGTTCTAATCACACTCAACTCCTACAAGTCAGAACAAACATGTTTAAAGTAATGAACCACTTTAGATAGTTTGGTACAAACATTGGAAACATGTTTTTCATGCTTGCTTCAAAAATAAGCAAGATGGCTATAACATGTGATTTCAAAATCTGAATGGTTGGAAGTCTCAAACCTTCCCTATAAATAGAGAGGCCATTTACAAGATAAAGAGGTGAGAAAAAAGAGAGAGAAAAGTCAGAAGTTTGTTGTGTAGAAGCTCTCAAAAATCCCTACACTTTCAAAAAACCAGAATTGTCCAAAAAACCCCCATTGTTAGCTTTGAAGTCCAAATCCTTGAACTTCTCACTCCTTGCAAGTTTTGTCCAAGCAAACCATCCAAACACTCCACATACATCATATAGAAGTCCTTCGAACACAAGAATAACTTCTGTAAGATCACTATCATCACTCCCCAAGCTCAAGAACAGTCAAGACAGTAACTCATACTCAAAGCACCAATTACAGCTTCAAGGTAAGTCTTCTTGACTTTGTAATCTTCATATAAGCATCATTAGTGGTTCGTTTATGAAGATAAAATGTAGATATCACTGCCTTGAAGCTAACCATATGCTTATCTTTCATTTTCACCAACCATGTGTTGAGAACTAACCCATGTATGCAACAAAACAATGTTAGAGTGAAAAAATTACAGCATGAGTCGACACATACTCACATGAGTCGACTCATTTTAGTGACAGAACAGGCTATGAGTCGATATAAAGCCTCATGAGTCGACACATACTGCTATACAGGCACAAAACAGAAAGAAAAAAAAGGTGCATGAGTCGACACAAAACGCGCATGTGTCGACCCAAACAGAGAATGAGTCGACGTATACCATTATGAATCGACTCATACTGAGTTAATCTAGTTTTACATGGGCAAGGAATGGCTATGTGTCGATGCATAGAAGTATGTGTCGACACATAAATGTTAAAAAAAGTTTTTTCCTTTCTTTTACACTGTTTTTACATATTTTACATACTTTCTTCATTGCTATACAATATGGTTGTAATACTTAAGCTCCTATTTCATCCCCATTCATAAATTGTACTCCCCATCCCCCTAT